CACACACACACACACACACCGAAGCGAATCAGGTCATCTTACCAAAACTTCTGCCCTGTAGGAATGGCAACGCCCTGAGGTCCGCACCTGGATGCTAACGCGGCGCCTGTCAGCGCGGCACCATTCAACATAACAGTGACCACCCTTGCTGGTGCTTTCCTGTGCAGATGTGTAGCGATATTTTGTAAGTTGAGGACTTCAGATGATTCAAGGCCCACTGTATGGGCTTGGCCGTTTGAAGGTTTATAGGTTTCGGATTTAGTATGCAGCTGCTGGATTCGTGCAGGGGGAGGTCATCAAATCCTGCGGCAGTTCATTATGGCTTTCTGGACTTGGGTTCCTTTCCCATGCAGAAGAGTCGTCAAAGCATTAGATGCGCAGAGCAGAACAATAGATGCCGGGGAGCCACGCCAGATGCTGTAATTATGTATTTGACGGCGCAAACTTTTTAGATCACTTCTCATGCAGGGGTGTCAGACCTCAAGCCAGAGCAGGTGCGACAGCATCTATCACTGTATCGGCCACAGACAGTGTGCCTTCCTCAGACACACAGCGTTTCTTTGCATGTAGCCAACTTCTGATACTTTGTGTCTAGGGGTTGCTGGGCCAAGAGTGTGCCATCACTCTGATGGGCAGATGCCTTTCGCGCTCACACCACCAAAGTTCGGCTCCCACGAGGCACAGCCTTGAGAAGTGCCCCGTGTGCACGCCAGGAGACCCTGCACGTATGACAATTCACAAGGATTCACCGTCTTCTCCGTTGAGCCGTGTTGGGGTGTCTTCGTTGATGAGGGGCCGCAAGTCGTCAGAGCGAGTACAACACATGGTACTTGCTCTCGGAATTGAAGCACTTCACTATGAGACTCAACCATCACGAGAATGAGCGCGGGTTATTGTCAGTTTTGGTGCTTGAGTACGCTTGGCCAAGTCAGGCCACGTCCTACTGCCTGAGTAGAAACGCTTGCCGACGCATGAAGAGCTAAAGCCTGGCATCAGCAGTCCTTCCGTTTGGATGACAAAGTGATAGTTGCCCGACTCCACCTTCATGCAGTAGAATGATTAATTGAGTGTGACTTAAAACAGTGGTTGCCAGTGCTCATGCCACATGCCCCGCTCAGCTCACAGGCCAGCAGTATCAAATCTTCAGAGGATTCTCCAGCTCAGTATCAGTCTGCATGATGCTTTCTCTAGGCTGCATTTGCCAACTGCCAGCGCTGGATCATAGAGGCAGACAAGAATATCATGCCCAATCCTCCCCGTTGTTTGGTAGTCCCAAACTCCAAAGGCTTTCTACTCAGTTGTGGGAAGTTCAGCAAGAAGCCTCATTGCTCGAAATTCAAGGTGAAGCTTCTCCTCAAGAAGGCTGCAACTGAACTTGGTTTTCCACCCTGGAGCTCCAAGCTATGTTCCTTGTCTTCAGTGCATGGTGGTTTTGAAGACTTGTACTTGTACCTTGCAACTTGGACCACTTCAGCCAAACCTAGTGATCCAGCACCAGTTTGGTGAGGTCGTCTGGGAGAGCAAGAAGACAGAGGACGACAAGCGAACGCACACACAAAACAACATCTGCCCTCAGCCTTATAATTTGGTGTTTACAGTTGAACTTTAAGTCTCAGTCCGAGAAGCATCTCCAATATACAACACAATGAAGTCTAAGTACACAAAGGTTGGAAGCCTGAGGTATAAGGGTCGCTGCTCACAAGGCGTGCCCTGCGAAATTAAGTCGTTGCTCCCTGCAATCAAGCATCCTCCCTCAACCAGAGCATTGCTAGCATTTTGATCTTTTTGGGGCGTACTTCTGTCCATCGGCCAGAGAGAGAGAGAGAGAGCCGCATG